TGGAAGGAAACACTTCTCGGTAGAGCCGGTGGTTATTGTGAGGGGAAAAGCACTGGTTAGTCACTGAACTCGCTACACGTGGTGTAGTGCACTAAAAAAAACCGAGCACGCTACTATACACGCTGCCTAGAGGCCAAAGTCACGCACTTCAGCGGAAGGCAAGAACGGAAACAAGCACACACACAAGGGCTAAAAACGAGTCAAGTAAACGCTGGCACAAGGCACACTTGCTAGGAGTAGTCAAGCACCAACGGTACTCACACTAAATGTAGCCGAGAGGCACAAGAACACACTCCCTATAAGTAAAAAGCGCCCTGTAGTGAGCTCTCTAGCACACTACAGGTAAGCGCGAAAAACAAACTCGCGTGCTTATCAACAAGTTAGCAGCAACCGAAAAAAAAACACTCGGAGAAGGCTAGGCTGAAAGAAAACAGCGCACGGGTTCCTGAAAAGAAAGCGCACACGCCCACCTGAAGAAAAAGATAACGCTAGGCACAAAGCACACTCCGATACCTGATCGAAAACCCGCGTTACTTGTGCTATCAGTAGCTCGAGAGCACGCGCTGAAAGTAAACTAACCTTAGCAGTGCGCACGCTACGTCACTATAAACACAAGAACAGGGCACGCGGGTTAAAGGTAACTAGCGGCTAGTGACTGTGAAAGAGCCAGAAAGAAAAGTCAAGCTCGTTCCTAAAGAACGCTAGCGTTCCTAAAAACAAACACTCGCGTTTCTGCAAAAAAACGAAGTCTGAAAAGAAAGCAAGACCGCACGTGTTCGAGACCGCTGTCGTCACACGCGGTGCGATGAGCCGCGCTAGTCGCTACACTCACTAGTCGAGCTCAAGAAAGCGCAACAGTAATAAAGAATCACTCACCAACCAGTCGATGCAGGCTAGAAGGCAGTGGCCGAAATTCCATGTCGGTTATCTAGGGAACAGGCACAGGGCACACGCCTTGAACCACGGGCACGGCGGTGCTTGCGGCGCGCGCGAGTACAGACAGCGTACTCGCGTGAGGCACCGGTGAAGCGACCGCACTCCTCGGTGGACTACGCACGCCCGGCGCGAAGCGCGAGTCACGAAAACAACAGCTGCGGAGCGCGCGTAAGCACGACCTTCCCCTTCGGCTGCCGAAACGGCTCTCTCTCGTTTGCTGCCTCAGCGCGACCGCAGCGCCAGCCTTTCCAGTGGTTGCCCTCACCAGAATCCGTTTGGCCAACGAGCTCCTCTTCCGACAGCGAGAGTGGGCCTCGATGGCGGGCGCTGCTTGTGACGTCACTGCTTGAGTGAAAGGAGAGGGACAAGAGCTCAGTCTTCAGTCGGCTGCACGCTTCGGCATTGAACGCACGTGCGCTACGTTGGGAGAAAAAAAAGTATTGCTTTCCGTAAGTACACCGCTTTATCGTCATGCCTGTCAACCATGCCCCGACTATTGGCGATCTTATTTCGCAGGCTCAAGGGAAGATGCAGAACACCTCGAGTCTGTTTCGCTACGTCTTGCTCGCGGAGAGTTTAAAGATATGGGTCCCGTGTGACGATTCCTCAAGCGATGATTCATCGAGCGATGACTCGTCCAGTGAAGATTCATGGAGCGATGACTCGTCGACTGACGATGGTGCGGGTTCGGCAACTGCTGTTTCTGGCGCTGGAGTCGAGGTAGGTAATGCAGAGGCGTCTACTTAATCTGAAACCGTCTGTAGGGTTTTACCGTATGTTTCAGATGACGACGCCGGACCACCGTCCAAGCCTCGCAGACTGGACGACTTCCCTGGAAAGTGGCGAGGGGACACGGACGATTTGAATACCCTGGAGCCCAGACCAGGACGGAGCGGCTTTCAGGACAACTCCTCGGAAGAAGACGACGGTGACGTCTAGCCAGTACGCGGGGCACCCTTAGCCATTTGGTTGGACGTTGACTGGGAGGTATTTGAAAAGTCACTTAAGATTCAGACTTTTCTTTACGAACTTTAGTGTTCTTTTGTTGCATGTCTTTGCATGATGCGTCTTTTGATCTGTGTTTGTAAATGTCACAGAACAAGCGCTAAAAATGGGCGCGCCGCCAAATTGTCGCGACGAAACGCCGGAGTGATGCCACGAGGTCAAAAGAAAAAGAAAGCAAACATCTAAAGGCTCCCCGGGCGCGCGCTCTCCCCTCGGAAGCGTGGCTTCGCCGACGAACCTCCTCACCCCACATCGGCGGCCGAGCAAGCCCGCGAAATTTCTAGAACGAAAGAGGCGTGGTCACGCCGGGTTGAGTCATCCATCGCGGAGGGCATTCTAACCGTCTCGCCCCCTCCCCAGCCTTCGCTGCGTATCGCGCCGACGAAATGACGAGAACTTTCTGGAATGTCGTGCGGAAGGTATTTAACCGAGCAGCGGAGACGAGAAAGCAGGAGAAGACGGAAGTTAGCGCCAGAGCGCGTAGGGATTCCGCTGTGTAGTCGGCGAAGGTTTTGTCCGTGAAGACAAAGCAGGAGAAGAAGATGATT